AATTAAATATAACCGTTAGATCAACATAATTAATTTAACGATAAAATTGGTTGGTAATAACACTAATTGGTTGTTACAATATCTATCTCATGTTTAAAATATTAAAAAGAAATTTGGGATGTGAATCGGAAATTAAAACCTTCAGTTAGAATGTCACCAAGTTTATTTATTGATTGATAGAGACAAATGAAAGGGTGTAAGGTTTGTGTTTTTCACAAGGACAAATGAAAGGGTGCACGAGGTGTTAATGTATTATTTCAGTGTTGAAGTTTAACCATTAGTCAACAGCTTCGACTAAAAAAAAATGGTTGAGTAACAAAATAATTAATATCTTATTATCCTGTTAAAATACTGAGTATATGTAATCAGTTTTCATGCTAACTGACTTTTAACATGTTACGATTCATGCCATTTTACGTGACTGAGTATATGTAATCAGTTATATTTTTTATTTTTAACTGTCCCTTTTGTCTGATTATAATATAATTAAGTACACTCGCATGCTGGCTGCTTTCTGTATCTTTTGAACATCACTCAACAGAAGAAGACAATGGTGGAGGCAGGCTCCAAGCGTGCTATCAAGGAGCTAGGGTCCAATTACTGAATTAGGACAACGCAGTAATGCCTGGTTATGGGGTTTTATGTCTTTTAACAGATTTAGTGCTTCTGTTTTAATTTTTCTTTTAATGTTACAGTTGTAGTGATACATGGGCAAAAAAATTAAAATATTGTATTTTTAATAAATAATTACGAATAAGTTGTTGTTTCGAACCTATTTACGAATCTATTGTACTCGTTCACTTCCAAATTAGACGTGAATCGTCTGGTGTTGATACGTGGTACAAAAAGTTAATAGTTTAAACGTAAAACTTCATAAGGCCATAACCCATAACTTTTGACTTGGGTATCCAAATCAGGTAATTCTTTTTTTGATTTCACATAATTTTTTTAGATCTACGCAATGATATCTCATTTGATATATTTTATCTCTCACAAAGAAAGTTCAAATTTGTAATAATGGCACTATAAAGATGTCACCAAAGTAGATTAATCCATTTAAAGTTTGGAAAAGTCTATAATACAAAACAAAGGCTGAATCTTTATGGCTGGATTGGTTGGAAGCTTATGAATGGTTTTCAAAAATAAAACTTTTCTTCCTTAAAGATTTAAAATATTTATTTAATTATTTCTTTCATTAATACATACAGATATTTCAATTTGATTTTTAAGTTTAAATAACAAATCAAATCTTTATTTTATTTTTCTTATTAATAATAATTTTTTAATTTTTTTAATTTAAATCAAAAACCAAATCTTTATTTATTTTTTATATTAAAAATTAAAAATTTTGATTTTTTAATTTAAATCATAAATCAAATATTTTTTATTTTTTATATTAAATCACAAACGCAGAACTCGGAGACTTATGGTTTAAACGCTCTTATAATATCATTATTGCAAATTTGAATTATTTTTGTGAGAGATAAAATATGTCAAATGAGGTGTCATTGCGTAGATCTCGAAAAGTTTTGTGGAATCAAATTTTTTTTACCTGATTTGGATACCCAAGTCAAAAGTTATGGCTTTCCAAAGTTTTACGGTTCGTAAGTTGACTTTTTTATGCCACGTGTCAACACTAGACGAGTCACGCCCAAATTAGGCGTGACTATTCACGCTCAAATTAGGCATTTTTGGGCGTGAATAGTCACGTCTAATTTGGACGTGGATGAGTGCAATAGATCCATATAAATTCGAAAGAACAATTTATTCGTAATTATTTATTAAAATAGTAATATTTTAATTTTTTTCGCCGGTGATATATGGTGCGAAACGTGAATATAAAAGGATACTTGCAAAATCTTCTCAAAGTTTCTCCCTCTAAGTAATTCTCGCCTTGATTTTCTCCGATCTGTCTTTTCTCTTCCATAACCAACAGGAAAAGGTATGTCCATATTTGCAGGACTCGTATAAAATTTATCAAAATTTATCATATTATTTTAAATCCATTGATCATTGATTTTCTCTCTCTAGGAGTTAGAAGTCTTACCCTCAATCTTAACCATTGATCCACTTGTATCCAATGGCTCACAATACTAAAATATTTGAGCCGTTAGATATAAATGAAATTAACAGATAAGATTGAGAATGTGTAACTTTTTCTGATGTAAAATGATCCTAACTTATATATATATATATATATATATATATATATATATATATAGGGTAATATTACTCTCATGTAACATGAGAGTAGTTCTCTCATGTTACAGAGAGAATTCAAGTAGGGTCCGTTATTTAAAAGCAAAAACAAAAAACAAAAAAGAAGGCGCACGATTTTCGAAGCGAGAGAAAATGAGATAACTACCTCATGTAAAATGAGAGTAGTATTTCCCATATATATATATATATATATGGGTCAGGATCATTTTACACCAGTGTAAATTACACTCTCAATCTTGACCATTGATCCCATTTATATCTAAGGGCTCTAAATTTTTAGTAATGTAAGTCATTGGATACACGTGGATCGATGCTCAAGATTGAGTGTAAGACTTATAACTCTTACACTGGTGTAAGAATATCATGCCCCTATATATATATATATATATAGGGTTTTATAATTCTCATTCAACATGAGAATTCAAATTTTCCTACACACCCTTCGATTCCCGTGTTAACATGGGTCCTACATAAAAAAATTTCTAACACATGGGTCCCACATGCTTTTTATCTCTACAACATGAGAATTGAATTCTCATTCAACATGAGAAAATCAAACCCCATATATATATATATATATATATATATATATATATATATGGAAAGATCATTTTACAACTGTGTAAGTTACATTTTTAATTTTATCCGTTGATCCCACTTATATGTAAGGGATCTAATTTTTTAGTAATGTGAGCTATTGGATACAACTAGATCAATATTCAAGATTAGGGGTAAGTAAGAAAAAGTATATTCACTTGAAATCTCAAAAAATTACACTTTGAAAGAAATTATGTCATAGGAGAAAAGGAAAATACGGAAAACCCCGGAACCCACACAAAAAAATGGCATAACAACGTGATTTTAAGTTGTAAGAAATAATTTAATCTTATATAATAAGAAAAAACATTTGTCCCTTAAAAAAAATTCTAAAATGAATAAAAATTTGGGCGATATCTTTTGATTATGGTGTATGAATAAGAAGTCTTATTCCATTAATACATACAATAACTATAATTTATTAAAAAATAATAATTAATTTCTGAATATAATTCAATAAAACATCAAATACACGAAGATCAATCAATGTTATCATACCTAACCCGCTCATTGATCTGGCCAGGATACTATATCACTGGTTCAACTTGTGGGTTATTGGTTAAACCGAATGACTCGTATTAGTACATGAAAAACCTATATTTTAGGCATAAAAAAAATCAAATACTTATAAAAAATTCTTAAGCAGAACTGAAAACATATATAATTTTTGTAATGATAAAAAAAGTCATATATGATAACCACATATAGTATATTGTAAAAGAAATTATCAAAGAAAAAAAATTCAAGTATCAAATAACCATATATAAGTATATAATTCCTCCACCAAATATCTTCAATTAACTATGTTTAATAATTATAAGGCATTTACCAACAACTCTTCTCATAAAAATGGATTTGCAAGGAATCAATATGTCACCTTCTCTTAGTATACTGTTTTGTAAATTGCTTCGGTCTTTGAAACTAAAGGTTGAGCTTATGATAGGAGACTGTACTACTAGGAAATAAAATTACAAAAAAAATTAAAAGGAGTTCCATACCTTTTTAAGACTAGACAAGACAACTTTAATTTTTTTTTTAAATGCATGACCTGTAGGTTTTAATGACCCAACCGAGTCACGGATTTTGATAAAATTCAACCAATTTGAATTAATTTTTACCCAATTTAATATATGACTGATTCGATATCTAACTCGAATGAATTATATAATTGGTTCACTAAGTTCAGTTCGACGTGGCTCTTTTGAGCCAGGTTAGATAACAGTGAGATTAACCCTTGAAATTAGGGGTATTTGCGGTCTGGATTGGATCAGTTTTGAAAGCAAAAATCATCTGATGCAATCCTTTCGGTTGGATTATGTAATCATCCATTCTGTTTGGATTTTTTTCAAATTCGATCTTATCCAATCCAATTTTTTTTCGATTTTTTTAAAAATCCTATAATTTGTTTCGTGATTATTGTGGAAATGATATCTTTTGTATATATTAAATTTATAATTTTTTTTTGAAATACAAAAGCATTAGGAAACGATAATACACATTTTTTTTTTACAATAAGATATGAAGCTCTTCATAAATGAAATTTTGTTGATGAGACTTGACTAAGTTTTTTCTTGGGTTTAGTTGATAGGTTAATGAGTCTAGAAATTTTTGAGTTATGATTGGGGAAAGATCCAAGTAGGTAGATGGAAATTAATATATTGGATCAGTTTTCATCAACCAATCTGAAATCCGATCCAATCAAATTAAAATTTGCAGTTTTTTTTTTCGATTTTTGGTTTTTTCGATTTTCGGATTATTTGGTTATCGATTTTTCGATTCGGTTATTGCTGTTTGAATTGGTTGAGGAATACCCCTACTTAAAACTATTTGAAATAAGTATTCTTACATCGAAATGAGAAGATCTTTTCCTTACAAATTGTTTTATAAAATTTTATGGTGTCCTTTTCACAAACAAAAGCTATCAAGGGCTAATCCTGTGGTTAAAACAAAAACCAAGCCTCTTAGATCCAACGGTTTATAGTAAAACCAATACCCACAGCAGACGAATTGATGACGTGGCGCACGGCCATTGGTTATTCCATTCCAACCGAATATTCGTCCACAACATTCCCAATCCTAACTGAAAATAAAAAAAACCATCTATAAAACTCGCTTTCCTAGTAGTCTTCGTGAATTACGGACTAACAAAAAACAGAGTAAAAAATTAGAACTTCAAACTACTAATGAGTGAGAACTTGAAACAAGACTACGTCGTTTCAGCAGAGATCGGCCGGGGAAGATTCGGCACAGTTTCCCGGTGCTTCTCTGTTGACTCTGGCGGGTCTTTTGCCGTTAAATCCATCGACAAAGTGGTCATAACCGCCGGCGGTGACCCCCTCGATGCGCAATGCCTGTTAACGGAGCCCAGGATCCTTCAGCTTCTGTCCCCTCACCCTCACATCGTGAATCTCCATGGCCTCTACGAAGACGACACGCACCTCCACATGGTCCTCGACCTCTGCTACGAATCGGACCTCCACCGCGGGGTCATGCCCGAGCCCGAGGCTGCCGCTGTTATGTACCAGCTCATGCAAGCCGTGGCTCACTGTAACCGGCTCGGCGTGGCTCACCGTGACATAAAACCCGACAACATTCTTTTCGATGACAATAATCGGCTCAAGCTAGCCGACCTCGGCTCGGCTGAGATTTTCAAGGAGGACGAGCCGATGAGTGGGGTGGTGGGGACGCCGCATTACGTGGCGCCGGAGGTCCTCGCCGGAAGGGACTACACCGAGAAGATCGACGTGTGGAGCGCCGGTGTCGTTTTGTATGTAATGTTGGCCGGGTTTCCGCCGTTTCGGGGCGATTCCCCGGTGGAGATTTTTGAGGCTGTGCTTCGAGCCAACTTGAGGTTTCCGAGCCGAGTTTTTTCCTCCGTGTCATCGGTGGCAAAGGATCTGCTTCGTAGAATGCTGTGTAAAGACGTTTCTAGAAGGTTATCAGCAGAACAAGTTCTGAGTAAGTCTTAAGTGTTTCATGCAATTTTTAATTTTTAATTTTTCCTTGTTATACGTTTTTCTGGATGAGGGAAAATGCGATTTTCTAAGTGCATGTGACTTCATCATAATTTTATTGCTATTAATCTGGGTTTTTATTTGTTCTTTGTAACAGGGCACCCGTGGTTTAGCATTGCTGAACAGAACATAGCGACAGTGTGAGTTAGTGACTCATCTTGACATGGAAAAGAGATTATCTTACGTTATAAATACGAAGTTGGTTTTTCTGTATGTATAATTAAGCGGCACGGTATGCCCTGCCGGAGGCAGAGATTTCTTCTTCTCAGAGAGCCCTCATTTCCCCTTGTCTCGTGGCTTTAGCAGAGTATAGGGCAGGCGTGTAGAGAAACCCAACTTGGGATTTTTTTTTCTTTTAATATATATGTATGGGACTAAACTTTTCTATATAATAATTTCCCATTTGGTGAATTTAAATATATCTTTAAACATTTGAAGTTGCTTGTTTTATTGTATTCTGGTGATAGATCTTTACAGATGCTGAAATACTTATGACGGGATTACGCTTAGAAAATTTTTTGTTTAGATAAGTTGAGCATAGTAATCAAATTCAGTTGGGTTTCCACCTTTTTGGTTCTATCTTTTGTTTCTATTCTAATAAAAGTAGAATTTGGGAATTAGTAGCATTTGAATTGAGCTAGGAAACCTAATCTCTCGATATGATTTTTTCATCGTAATACATTTATCTCCTCCAAATTTGACTTTGGTCGAAATATTGAAATTACACTAGATAGATCTTTATATAATATATATCGTACTCAAAACTTTACATCTAATGTTTCGTTTGATTATTAATATTCTCTTATTCAGTCAAAAGGCTTGCAGTTCCTAATATTTAGATATTATTTTTCTGTATAGTCAATTTCTTATTCGGAAAAAACGCTTAAAAATAAGTTTAACATAGTAAAGTGATGTAAAATTTATGTGGAAGTGAAGCTATTCAATATCAATAAATTTTACAGATTTATTCTTTGGTTAGATCCTAAGCTTAAGTTTCACTTGTTTTCTTTTATTTTTTGTATTTTCTTAGTTAACTACGTAATTTTGTTCTTGAGAAATTTAGCCAGAGACACATTAAATGCCCGAACGTTTGATAAAATATTTTTAATTATATTTACTTTTCTAATTTTAAAATATTTGAGAGATTATAACAATTTAAATAAAAAAATGAGAAATCCTTATTGACATTTGTATTTTATTGTATTTTTTTAAGATTTCTTCCCCTACGTTTTTTCTCCCACATATGCTGACATAATGATCAGGAATTATGATTAAATATATTAATGATAAATGAATTATTAGTTAAAGCAATCTAATATTCAATTAATAAAAATGATGGGGAACGATGTCTTCTATTCATTTGAGGGGGATATAAATGGGATCTTAGGTTTCCACTGTACCGGAGTAAGGGTCGTTTGTATTGATTTTTGAGGAAAGTTTTTTTTTTTTTTTTTTAAAGTATTTTTTATAAAAGTTATAACTATTTAGATTTTTAAAAAAATATTTGATTTTTGAAAAAAATATTTAACTTCTGATTTTTGCTTTTTGTAAAAGTTAAAAATTTTAACTTAAAAAAAAGTAAATTTTTGACTTTTTTTATAACTTATTCTTTTTTTAAAAGCAGGCATCCAAATAAACTTTTTTTGAAAAGTTCTTTTTTTTCTTAAAAAAAGAAGTTTTTGAAGAAAAAAAAATTCATCCAAACAGAAGTGTAAAAAGGGAAAAATGGTTTATGGAACAACGAAGAGTCGAAAATAAGCAAACCTGGCCGGTTTCATTTTGTCGTGTAGCATCAGAAAAAGTTGAGGTGCTCGCTCTATCACTCGTCTCCGTACCTTTCCGTAATTACGAACTTGCGATTCTTTTTCTCTTTTTGGATTTGCATTGTATTTTCCATTCGTTTATTGAATAGTTACTAGTCCGTGCAATTTATTTATTTATTTTAGATATTTTAATTGATTCATTGATCTATTATTGTCCGATTCAATGTGGGTCTCAGAGTTAAAGCTTTAAGCTCTTTCTAAATATGATATTGAAGAAGATCGAATACAAGCTCTCACCCACCTGCTCAATTTATGCATTTTGTTTCAAGTTTTAACGTGTTTAAATTATTATTTAAAGATGCATCATATGTTGTACCGACACCGAACACAACTTGACATGACAACACGTTAATTTTAAAAATTATACATATTAAATAATATTTCTAATATATATAATATAATTTAAATTTAATATATATAGCAGCCCATAATAAGTCATATAACCAATCAAATTTCAAATTACATACACAAATATAAAACAAAAATAATTTTTCATGTCAAATTTCATAACAAAAAATATTTGATTTATAAATTAATTTTTTTTGTTTAGATAAAGAGATAAAATAAAATAAAATTTGGATTAAAAAAAAGGTGTCGTAAAATGTTGACCACGTGTCGAACACGTGTCAATATGTGTCGATGTCCACACACGTCTGACGAGCATTTTTCTTCCAAATTGACGTGTCCGTGCTTTTTAGGATGTATCAAATAAAGGTAGTTCAGTTAGCGCATAGGAGTTGAGCAGGTGGAGGTAAAAGCATGTGTTCGATCTTTTCCAGTACCATATTTGAAAGGGGTTTAAAACCTTAATCATGGAGCCGCCTATTGCCTCATGTGAAGTAAACCTATGGTTTATCCCAAAAAAATTATTATTTAAAGATTTTCAACAAAAAAATATTTTTTTAAATATTTTATATTTTATGTGTATTTAAATTATAATATAAAACAAGGTATAAATTAAATTCTTTAATTTGTTAATATTTAATTTTTAAATAATAAGAAAGAATAATGAAATTTTATATATTAGTCAAATTATGTAAAAAAAATTATATAAAAATATATATATAATCTTAGGCAGCGGCGGACCTATTTGGATGCCAACGTGTACAAGTGCACACATACATTTGATCATATATTTTTTTAGTAAAGAAGATATATTTTTTAATTAATTAGGAGTGTCACTCAAAGAGCAATTTTAATGGTTGTATTGCCAGGAATACAAGCACAGATACTAAGAAAGAAACACATCTTATTTACTGCTTCTGTTTTAGTGGTTTTTTTTTTTTTTGATAACATGTTTTAGTGGTTTTATATCATTAAGTTGATTACTATTTTTTTATGTTAAGTTCAAGTTTTCTTTTTCTTTTTGTTTGAGAATTATATCCTTCATATTATATGAACAGATTTTTTTGTTAAGTTACATAATATTAAAGAAAGTAAGATGACACATTATTCAATGAATTGGCCTTTTTTTTTAACATGACAAAAAAATTTGATTCATGTAACATGAGGGATATAAATTCATTTTTGTTTATATTCTTTTATTTTTTAATGCATTTATAACTTTGTTTTTTTTTTTTTTTCGGAGGCACTACCCCCAAATCTCCTCCATTAAATATACAGACTAAACACGCACACATAAATAAAATTTTCTAGGTCCGCTACTGATTTTAGGGACTAGTATTTATCATTTTAAGTGAGAGAAAGAAATAGACCGTGAAAAAGAGAGTGAGAGGAAAAAGTTTTAAAGTTGTAGGTTCCACCTTTTTGTGAAAGTGAAAGAACACAAGGTGGGTCATTTAAATTAATGTCACATTTTTCCCCCAAAATTTTATATACAACAATTACATAAATGATATTCTATTATAATTTAGATTAGAAAATATGTCCATAACCTTTAATAAAAAACCGTCCCTTAACTTTATAAAATAAATTTAATTTATTATGCTCTCTTAACAAAGTAAATGATCATAACAAAATAAAAATAATGATATATAACATAATCATTTATCATAAACTAATAATCAAGTGATTGAATGCTTCCGCTTATTCATTTTTTACACACATTGTTTGGGGGTATACTTTTACACACATTTTAGAAATACTAATTATTAATTAATAGCTCATATACATAACTGCATGAATATAATAAAATAAACAAGTGTTAAAAAAAAAAAAAACTGGTTTGGCGTGGTTTCATATGGCTAGTTAGGAGTATAATAAAGAGCATATTCTAATGTTTACCAAAAAAAAGAAAAAGAGAGAGCATATTCTAATGAATAATTTGTCGGTATTTATTTTGTTAAAATATTGATCTAAAGTATTCATTTTGATGATGGTTGACGGAGATTGAGAAAATTATGCAGAAGAGACAACTTGTTTTCCGTGAATTTATATTCTTTGAATAGTAAGTTGAAGCAGTGCCTCTTAACAAAACAATATTCTAAAAATAGTTTTGGCGAGCATGTAAAATCTGTTCAAAATTCTAGTAAACTCCATAGCAAAATACATTGCGGTTCACATTAAAGTATCAAAGCAAGAAAAACATTGCATAAGAAGTTGCTGCCACCCAGAAAAATCTACAACAAAATGAGTTTTAAAATAATTTTATATCAATTTAAACATAATTTAAATAAAAAATAATTATTGGTCAAGTGATATATACATATATATGGTAAAATTATTACTGCAGCCGCTTTACGTACAACAACAACATGTATATGGTTATGATTCCCCACATTTAATGCTTTCATCTTTTGTATGGTTATGATTCTCCGCATTTAATGCTTTCACGTATATATATGACAAGTATTTGATTACTGCACGTACAGCAGCTGCAGAAATGTAAACTCCATATATATATATATATATTTTTTCTATAGACAAAAACAATGTTATTAAACCCGAATTGGTCATCGACTCGTCGAAGTATCAGATTAGTGGGTCATTAATTCAACCAGTTAGTCATTGATTGAACCACATGACCCAGATAGATGTATATAAATTTATATTTCATACTCAAAATTCATTTATAGTAATTTTTATATTGTCAAGCAAAATTCATAATTATATCTATCCAGAATTATCCAGAATTTTGTTCGGCAACAATTGCAAGGATTGGTTTGCGAAACAAGACCTTAGCATGGAAGAGAGAAAATGGTATTTTCACCTTCAATCAGCATCCTCCTCAAATAATAAGTTTACTACTAGGGATTTACTTGCTTTTCATAAATATAAAATTCTTGCATCTTTATATTTCCTTTTTTCGAGCTTAAGCCCTTCTTAATTATGGGGAAAAAAAATTATTTATATGTTCAATATTAAAAAACAAAATTAATATCACTTT